CCGCGCCCCGCCCCGGCTGGCCGCCCCGGCGGGGCCGGGGCCCGGCGGCGGCCGGATTTACCTGTGTTTGCGTCAGTCCTAGAGAGGCAGCCAACTCGGCGCGTTCTGGCAGGGCGAGGTACTGAGTCTTCTGAAACCTTCTCTGTAATGCGGCCAGCTGAAAGCTGGAATAAATAGTCCTGGGTTTACGAACTTTCTTTGGTTTACCATTCACCATCCTCACCTCTGGCTCCGCCACTTCTTTCTCTAAATAATCAAAACAGACTAGGTTAGAGCTGCTGGGCAGACAATGGCCCTTTTGCACCCGCCCTCAACTCACTGAGGTTTTGTTAGCTTTGAAGAATGTATTCTTCGCTCTCATTCCCAATATCACCACCTTGACTTTTTAAACCTTAGTGAAACTCGTCCCTTCCCCAAATCACACATAGAAGAGCCGGGAGAGTGCCCGATTAACGGCTACTCCGTGCTCTGAGGCACCTCGTAGACAACCAGCTGCTTCTTCGTTTTAGGGATGGAACCCTTCAGCTATGCTTACTTCTCTCAGACATCACCCCTCCCCCATTTACCCTGGGCTCCCTGGCGTTTCTGGAACGGGAAGACCCACTCCTTTCTCAGGGCGTCAAATGAGGAGGCCCTGGGCCATGACCCCGCTTCTGTTGGCGTCTGTTCGGGCGCCCGCAGAGGCTAGACGCTTGGGCAGGGAAGACGCTAGCCAAGGTCTCCAAAGTTCAAAGACCGACAAGCAAACTATGTTCCTTCACTACAGAGGCAAGCGGTCGGTCGGGGCCGCGGCAGACAGAGAGCCGATTATGCAGCCCCCATAATCTCTCTGCAGATCTGCGAGGGCACAGATGTGTCTGGTTTCTTTTACAAATAGACTTAATATGTTCTTGGCCAAAAAAAAAATCTCTCCCCTTTATGCACGAATACAGAGACAGCGAGAGGAATAGACTCAAAGTTCAATCAGATACATTGAGAAAGAATCTGTAGGGAAGATATTTTCGTAGTAAAGGGGAGAGAGTCGGGAAGAATTCTCACTGTTAATACACAGCGCTGGTGGGCTCTCTGAACCTGTGATTTGCAAGCATGCCTCTCGGCCACATGGCCCCATTCCTCCCCCCCCCCAGGAGAGTGAGAGCTTGTGTGTGTGAAGCTGCTGCCAGAGGAAGGGTGGAGGATGAGGACTGTGGTCTCCACTCTGCTGGAGTAGGGAAGCTAATATTAGCAGGCTTATTAATGTGTTGGTGAGGAGAGATCAAAATCGACCAGTTAAACTTCTCCACCGAGACTTCACGCCTCTCATTTACCGCCCAGGCTCACTACCCCACTGTAACTCTCTGAGGAAGTTTCAAGGTGGACAGAAAAAAGGAGATGGCGAGGAAGGAGGAGGCAGACA